CTGTGCTCTGCTCTGTGTTTGTACAGTCCCTCGCACAAAGGCATTCCTTTCTGTGACTAATCTTCCTAGGAATTATAGTGATGCAAGTAATAAGTAATTAGTGTATTTCATTACGCTAGCTCTGAGAAACTCCGTTGTCTTTAGGGTCTGTTGTCTCACAGTGCTGGAGAGGACCTCCTTTAGCTTTCATTTGCCTTGCTTGTTGATGTTGCATCAAGAAGGCATTCTGCCGATCTTTGAGAACTAGAAACTCTCAGGCTGTGCGACCCTTTTGTGGTTTTGCTTGGCTGACCACCTGGGCCTAAGGAAAACATGGTATTATCGGAGTATCAGAGTACTGCCGTTTGGAATGAAGCCCCCTGTGGTAGTCCAAGAGCACAATTGTCAAGAAATGGGTACAAATGACCAAAATTGGATGCTAGTGTGAGGTATTTATTATCCTCAGTAGTGCATGACTTCTGAGATGCTGGCTGGCATGGAGGGTGGGGAAGGGATTCTCTATAAATTGAGCGGAAAGCTTCTTTTGTAGTTTAAGTTTGAAGCCACATTGTCTTCCTTTGTTGCAGCTGTGATTCTTACTGTATGTATTGTTCCAAGCCTAATTTCAAGCTCTCAGCTATTTTTTTTTCCTAGTTAAATCTCTGTGTGGCTTTTCTTCCCAAGAAGAATTCATCATCATGCTTTTGCCTGTGAGCTATAGCCAGATAACTGTACAAAAGCTGTAATACCAACACTTCCTATGTGTGTGTGTGTGTTTTTTAGGAAATGAGTTGTTAAGTTGGTGGCTTACACCTATGTCAGGGTGTGTCCTTGTCACAAACATTTGGGAGACATGAAAACCTCAGGAGCTTCCAAGGCCCCATTTTTGTAAACACTGAGTGGTCAGTGAGGCTGAGGTGAGGCATCCCTGTAGCTTTTGGTGGCTGTCCTTTCCCCATCTCCATCCCAGTCCTTGAGTCCACCCAGACTGACTCATCAGGGGTGTGATGTCAGGGGAGGCAGTGACTTCTGAGTATTTCACCGCGGTGCCCCTGACAGGTAATGCTCCAAATGCCACGGCCACGCAAGGAGGAGAGGGCAGGCAGGGGAGAGCAGAGCTTAAAGTGGAGGTAGCCCCTTTGGGTGGCCTTGTGGTGGCTCAGCCCCGTAGGAAGTAAGTCTTTTCCTGGATTTGTGCCAAGGAGATCGTGGAGGAGAACGTGGAGAGAGGCTGTCTCTGGTCGTGGTGAGGGAAGGCACTCACGCCGTCTTGGAGCACACCGTCCGAAGGGAGGGGGTTACAGCTCACGTTTGCTTTCTGTGGTGTATGGTAGCTGTTGTAGCGGTGAGCTGTCTCCAGTGGAAGAGTAGGAAGGAGCGACTCTTCAGTGCGTTAAGTCTTCTCCTTTGGTTTGGGATAGTGTTTGCTGCCTTGTGCACGAGGTGCCAGTGTCTGGTAACTACTTCTGTGAAAGCGTATCCCGAGAGGGATTTATTGCAATTCCTTAAACCGATCTCTGCCGTGAAGTAATTCAGCTTTTATTGAAGTTGAAATGTGTCTTACCTCTTATTTGAGCGGGTGAAGCAGTAAGCCAACTCTGATCATTTTTCAAAACTGCACTGTAAAAGTAGACTATATGGCATACCGTGCTGCAGGCGCAGATTTGTGAATTCTTCTTTTGTTTTGCTTTCTGAAGGATTAGCGTTTGGATTTTCCGGGGCTTCAGCTTGAATTTAAACTTTACTACATGGCTTTCTGAAAGTGAATTTATGAATCATTGTTATGGATCTTGAGTAATTATGTTGTCATGCTGTTATTGATAGATGCAGAGTCATAGAGCTTTGAGTAATGTCAGCTTAAAAAAAAAAAGAGGCTTTAGAAGCAGTGGACATAATTGTATTTCCTTTAACATCCGTGGGAGCATGAAAAGGTCACTACAATATCTCACTAATGGACAGAAATATTTCATTAAGAAGTGGCAAGTACTTGTGTTCCTTTGGTAGAACAAAAGAATTTGTCAGCACAGCCATTCAGTCTCGGGATAGTATTCTTTTCTGCATTTTTGTTTGTTTTGTTTTAACTTAGTACATTAAGCTTCAACCCTATTCGGGATTTCTAAGCTTATTTCTAAATAAGCTGTTATATTTGGTTCTCTATTCCTACAATTTCTAAGATCACTTCAGTTATAAATTTATCACATCTTTTTAGTATTACAGGTAGCTGTAATCAGGAGCTATTTATGGATCTAATGCAAAATTCAGTTATACTTTTAGAATATAATTCATGTCCAGTTGGCATTTAGTTAGTTATCTATGCTTTAATGCACCTCTAGGTAATCTGTTGTTTCGGTTTGGATCACTTTGGCCACTCTGACTTTAATATGAGAAGGTCCTGACATCATGATGGAAGTTGATGCTAATTAATTAATCTAATTAATGAAAAGCCACTCATGAACAAGTAAATAATATTGAAAAAAACAGAAAAGAATATTTTTTTTTAAATTGGAAAAGTTAACGCTCTCCAAGGTGCTTTAATATTTTAAAGAAAGAAAACACTGATTTGCATGTTAATGTAATGTTACACATTTTCATTATAGAATCAGGAAGGACTAGAGGAAGAAAATGTAGAGAAATTTTTTAACTCGCTACTGCTTTCATAAAAAAAAAGGTGGTTTTGTTTGTACTTTCAGGTCATTTGGTTCAAAATACAATTTACTAGGATGAGGAAAGAAATTATTCGCCCAGAGGCTTTTCTTCAAGTGTAAAAAAACCCAGCAGTAGCCAATGATAAAACTGGTACAACGATAGCATAGAACACTGTTACTCATTATAGGATATAATATTACTGGAGAAGAATAGCAAAGGACACCACTAACAACACAAGTTGTATATTGACCTGGATTTTATGGGGCTGGTAGGTCTGTGTAAGCTGTGTAGAAATACTCTTCTGTTGGTTAAACTGAAGGTGCTTTTGTTGAACAAAGCAATGCCTTTGCCATGTATAATCTTTTCTTGATTATCTTAGTAATTTTCTAATGTAGTTAGAATTGCAGACAAGAATTACAGGCAAGAATGATTATTTTATTTGTTGCCAATTTATAGTGACATGCTGTATAGCCTTACCAGCAAAACAGCTGCCTTTGTTTCTATGTCCTTTTCTAAGGATCTAGTCACCTGTGTTAGGGCAAGGTACATTCTGCTTTTAAAACAAACTCTGAGAATTTAAGAACATTCAGCTCTCCCTGTCTTTGGTTGAATTGCGGAGAGTGATTTATGCTTCAGCCAGGCATGAAAATAAATGATATTGCTTTTAATTGGTGCGCTTTACAATTTTTATTCCCATAATATAAACATGTAACAATGAAAAATAGTATGTAGACTAAATCTTTTATGACCATTTAAGTGTGGCTAGGGCATATCTCTCTTATTAATGTAGGTAGGGATTTTACTATTGAAGATAACATGCTTAGGCCTTTCATTACTAGTGAGTTTTAACTGGAGAGTGTGTGAATATCCAAGCGTATATGCCTATACCCACACTTACATGGCTTTTACTCTAATCTGAAAGCGTGCTGTGAATGCAGTTTTGTGAAATAAACAGGGATGTTTTGTTGTGGTTTTTTTTGAGAGTTCACAGATGGAGATAATTGAGACATTGCAGAATCATAGCAAGTGAACGGTTAAGTATGAAGGTTTTACAAGAAATTCAATCATGATATACTGGTTATAATCTTACTGGCTTCAGTGCTGAAAATCTCATGTGCAAGATAATAATACTTAATTAAAACCTTAATGTATACATGAATGAAAACCATAATTGAAGCAGTACTTCAGTTTTATTTCTGCCAACTTAATTTGTTTGTCTGAACAAGTTAATTAGGCACTGACTCCATGATTGAACGACTACTTAAACATGTGCTTAATGTTAAACATATGAACCGAGTGATGAAAGTTGGGCATGTGCTGTTCGGCTGAGTCAGGGCTGAAATTACCCCATCTGTGCGATATCTTAGCCCAGTGATTTACACTGAGAAGTGCAGCTTTTACCTACAAATCTTTTTTTATGCCAGGAAACGTTTAGATCTAGTTGATGCTGCTTTGGGGGAGGTTGTGACTGAGACGATCTCTCAAACTCCTTACCAGTCTTGTCTTCTAAGATTTAAATAACAGGAAAACATAAGTGACGAGAAGTCAGAGTTCAAAAATTATTGGTATGATTTGAACGATGTCCTGGAAAATTTGCTAGTGTATGTTTAAATTTAAATTATGGTGTATCTATAGGCTTACAATAAGCATCCACCCTTGAAGTGATTGCAGTTATGTTTATGAATACTTCTGTGCTGTGCTTTCTGGCAATACTTTTCTATTGTGAAGTGTCACAGCGTTTGAAGGACCACAGAGGCATTAATATGGTTTTGCTGTTCCCTCTTCATTTTGCTCTGTGTACATCCTTTAGAATGCGAACTGGTATCTCTTTTCTCTTTTCTCTATACGTGCATACTGCTAGCCTACTGTTACTGCGTGTGCTTTTCAGCACCCTTTTGATTAATAGATTGAGGAGCTGGCAGAAAAAGGGGCGATATCCATGTTCATCCTAATGACAACTCCCTATCAAAGAGTCTTTTCACTCCTGGCTGCCTTCTTGCACTTGGTCAGTATTCACATAATTTCATGGCTGGTTTAGCTAATGTGAAGGCAGCTGACCTTACTACAAACTTCAGCTTTTTAAGAGGCAGGTTTTGTCCATGTGAGAGATCTGAAGTCATTGCTTGGCTTTGTTCTTCCTCCCTGACAGACCATATAGTGCTTGTAGTTTGTTTCTTGTAACCAGTAATGTCACAAAGTTAACAGTCACATGCAGTCCTTTTTCATTTATTATTTACTACAATATCAATTATTTTTATTTATGTATTTTTTTAAACAGGCGTAATACACAATGGATTACTTACTGACTTTGGATTGATATCAGTCATAGCGGTGGGTCTGTAAAAACACATTTTGATTACATTAACTTCTTAAAAATGAATGGGAGGTCATGCAGTATGAGCCATCGGACAACAGGTATTCCTCATGGACCTATGATGATCAGTGGACAGCAGATCCCACCTATCAGAGTTCATGCAGGAACGCCCTGCCCATCTTCAAATAGCAGCACCCCAAGCCCAGCTATTGGAAACTTGTCTGCCAGCCTACACTTAAAGATTCCCCTTGGAGGAAGGGTAGCTCTTCAGAGCAACATCATTGACAGTACTGTTCACCTTCCTGCTCTAAGTCACAGGAAACAAGTGGTTACAAATGTGAAGCCTCTATTGCAAGCTCCACAGCCCCCAGGACTGCCAGCCCCACAGTCTGTAAAGCCAAAACAGCAAGAATTTGGAAATTCTTTCTCCCCATGCACAGGTGAAGGTAAGACTCCTTTTTCTATTGCTATTACTATTAGCATTTCTTCTCCAGTGTCACCTACCCAGATGGTGTTGGGTTTAGTAGATGGAATCCAGTCTCTTCTTTACTGCTGTCTTACTACAAAGGAAGAGATACTGAAACAAAATGTTTGCTGTTTTCCACAAAAGTAATTAGTTGTTTGATTATTCACAGGGGCTTTGTATTACACAGCAGTTGCTCAGAATCCCGGAGTTGTCCCCAGATTCTTTATAAACAGTGTAGTTTGACTTTCCTTTGGTAACCTCTTGACCTAACCTAGCCTCTTGACTCAATAAATCCAGACAGTCATTTTATGTTCTGTGGCACCAGAATTTTATGAGTGCTATCAGAAACACTCCTTCTTGGATGCATGAACACAGCTTTCCACTGGTGACTAACAAGCTGCTTACTGATGAAAGCAGCAATGTAGTCATGATTTTTAGAGTGCTTAGGCTGAACAAGCTGTAAAGCACTTTGGAGCATGTCTCAACCGTAGGTTTGCAAGCCATTTTTTGGAACCACAGTTCATGCTGTAGAAAATAATTATGCATAGCTGTCACAAAATTTGGAGGCTGGTCCTCTGTAAGTGCTTGTGCGTCAGAGATTTACCTATCTGTGAGACAGTACTTGACTGTCTGCTCTTGGGTCTGTGAAGTCAAAACAGAACTTTTACATTTTTAGTACTTCTTGACCTAAAGGAGTCATGATGGAGATGGGGATACTCTTTTGGAGGAGTTTTTGTATCATACTTTCAAAACTGAATGTATGTAGACATGAGAATTTAATGTATAGAAAAGAATTAAATGGTTTAAAATACCCAGAAGAGCTTGGGTTGACATCTGAGTGAAAGTGCGGAAAAGGAGGCAGAGATTTCCCATTTTGTTCCAAGTGTGTTGCTTCTCTCTGTTTTCTGTTTTTCTTCACTACTTCCCTTTGAAAACCTAGGAAGTCCATCCTTCTTCAGCAAGGCTTGCAGGCTTGAAACCAGGATAATTTCGGAACAAGTTGAAAGTTAACTGCGTGCTTGAGTGCTCTGCTGAGTCAGACCAGTGGTAATGCATATACATATTCATTAGGCGACCTCTGAGATCACCCGTCTGGTGCTCCCTTTGGTGGTGGTGGTGGGTGTAAGTTGCAGCAGAAAGCTTTAAGCTTCTGCTACAGTGAAGAGAGGTGGACTCCTCACATGAGCTTTGGAGGAACTTTTCTATCTCTCTTTCACTACAGGTAGAGCCTGATTCCTGCTGCCTTCAAAATTACGTGCCTAAAAACAGGGAATCCAAGAGCCCTATGTAACAGCTAATCCACCGCCAGCACAGGGTGAAGAGAGCATCATCTAGTGTAATGTCCTTGGTTTGGGGATTTTGATCTGCTGTGCCTGACCGCTCTGTTCCTAGCTGCTGTCGTTTCCACCTTTTCTTCTTGGCCTGATTACCTGTCACAAATGTAGTCTGCTGTTTTGTGGCATAGTGAGTATTCAGCTGAAGGGCTGGCATTAGGGAAGCATATGTATAAACAGTCCTGGTTAGACAAGATACTATGGAATTCCGCTACAGTGGACTTCAGATTCTGTGGTTTTATGGATTGGGATTAGTAATTCCTCATGCTTTAAAGTTCTTGTTACTAGCAGGACCACTTACAGAGTTGAAGATGATGCATGCTGGCAACACACCCACTGTGGAAGAGCAAGGCTCATTCACTTGGTTGTGTCCAGATAATTTTCTAAGATTTTGAACCTTGCTATGCTGTATAAAGCATATTATGTATGTAAGTAAGGCTGTAAACCTTATAAAGTAAACTCATGTAGTTTATGCTTGTGCAGCTCTTTAATTAATTTTGTTCTTCTCTAGTGGTGAGTACCTGGAGGGAAATGAAACCTTCACCCCAAGAAGACAACAGTTTTCCTTTTACTGTTGTCTCTGTATCAGTTATGGAGGTTTGTACTATTGGAAGCTGGTTTTTGTTGGGGTTTTTTTGTTTTTTACTTTAAAACACATTGGATAGTAAAAGCAGCAAGATACACAACAAAATGACTTGGTGGTGGTTTTGCAATAGTTTCCCTGCATTCTTTCAATAATGAATAAAACAGTTTAAACAAAAACCCCAGAAGCGTCAGCCTGGGATGGAGGAAAGAACAGAGTATTTTGGGGCCATCCAGTTGTGTGCCTTGGTTTATACAGAGGCTTTTTTCTTTTGACAGGAGGTGGTGCTGAGTGCACAAAGAGAACAGTAATAAGCTGCAGTAACCGCAACACGCAGGGAGTTTTTACTTTGCATGAAGACTCTCTTTATCTTGTATAGTGTTACAAAGCTTTGCAAGGAGATGATTTTTAGAAAGGGTGCCACCTAAGTCACGTTAAGAGAAACTGTTAACACTTGGGTGCATGATGAGAACCTGAAGCACATTGTGCTGTGTTACCATATGCAGGGAAAAAAGCAAGTCTGAACATGCACTGGTGTACATCTCTGACTTCAGTTGCTTTATCTCCTGTGTTGTACTGATGGTATAAGAGCTTTCTAGTACTACGTTGTGCATATGAGAAAGAAGATAGTATAGCGGTGAATTTTTTTCAGTACAGAAAAATGTGCTGGTGCAGTGATTCCATTTTTTTGCTGGGAGTGTACACTTTTGTGTGCTCATGTTAGATATTCTCACAGAGAAATTAGGTGCAAAATGCAGGTGTAACAGTACATGTATTTGCCATTGGACATCTACAGTCTCTCATTTTGTTCGATATGTGTATTTGACCACTTTTCGTGAATAACCAGTTTCACACCTTTTGGATTTACTCAGGCCTAGAAGGAGATTTTTACTGACAGTATCTGCTGAGGTGATAGTGAGCTAGAGAGACATCAGGCAGGAATGAGCAGAAAGGGGAAGAGGGACAGAACAGTAAAGGAAGACACAAGACAATAACCTGGTCAGCACTGGCCTTCAACTTCTCTCATCAATGCAAATCTTTTGACAGAAGTCATGTAATGAAAAATGACATAATTTCAAAAATCCAGCTTTCTACTGAGTGTTCTAGTAAGAAGGTATTTTTTTAATTGTGTAAATTTCAAGTAGTTCAAATGAGAACTGTGATCTAAATGTAGTGATTTAGTTATCCAAAAGTTATGTATTCAGGGAATTATTACCTTTATACTTTATACATATTTATACACATTTGAATAGTATTTTGTTTTCTAGAAAACCTAGTAGCTGTTCTTATTGCTTGTCTTACTTATTCATCTGTGCAGACAATGGACTTGTGAGTGTGAGCTGGAATATGTGCAGGCATATCCTGAGTGCTCTCATGTCTCATGCAGGAATAAAAATCCCAAATCTTTCTGAAAAGAACACATTTTCTGAAGGGACCGATATGTTCAACACCTACACTGGTTTCTCTTACTCAGTGAATGAAAACATGTTTCTGAAGTCCGTCAAGAGGTATTAAAGATAAACATACCCCTGCTGGTGCAGGCAGTTGTGGAAAGTGGCTGTGGGAGTAGTTGTGGAGAACACCTTGTACTTTTCCCTCAGCATTATTTGTAAGCACCACTGGAGGAATGGTCCTGCTGGGGGAGTTGGATCCTTGATCTGAATTGCTGTGATTGTACTTAACATGCTTATCGTAGTTCATTCAAAATTTAGGAGTGGATTTGCCAGTCCTGTAAGACAATATACTGTAGTCTTAAAGCTTCTTGGATTTGGATGATGCAAAAATTTTCAATGATGTGACTGAAGTTCTGTGCTGAGGTGCTGTTGGTGGAGGTGATGCAGCTGCTGCAGCTCCAGTTACCACGCTCATAACACGATGGAGAGGTTCAACATGGACATGGGGAGGAGAGAGGAAGCCCATCAGCCTGGCTTTTGGTCTTCCTTATTGTGATTGTGGTTTGAGCTCGTATGTCTGGCAAGACTTTCTAGAAATTGTGAGCTGCTCTCAGCCAGGAGATCCGTAGCCATCTCGTTGTGTCCCCTATTCTCCCTGGCAGCAGGTGAAACAGCACGGGTGGGGACTTCAAGCCTTGGAAACCAATCTGGCCGTTGGTTCCGCCCTGACTGCTCTACTAAAAGCAGTGTAGACAACATGTAGGTATGTGGCTAAAGCTGTGTTATAGTTGTGAAGAGCTGACATGAAAATACTTGAGATGGAACTTGAAGAAGCAAATCTGGACATCTGTTAGTAAGAAATGCAGAAATGTGTGCAGATAGGCATGGATCCCTTTTGTTCTCCTTTTCTAGGGCCATTGAAAAGACTGCTGTTGTCTTCCATTTCTGTGGTCCCTGCAGTGTTAAGTGTTCCTTGACATGAAAAATCAGCTTGTATTTTATTGCCTGTTTTCTTGCAAATCTGACTGTAAATTTTTCCTAGCAAAATAAGTAAGTTAGTTGATGTTCATGTGTACGATGAGCACATTTCCTGTTGGTGATCATTAAGGCTTTTAATTATCCTGGAAGTAGTTGACAGGCGTTAAATCTTGGGATTGGGATTTTTTTTTTTTATTTATTTTTTTTCCCCAGAGGCTCTGGAAGAAGAAGCAGCTCCAACGCTGCTAAGCTGTGTGCGAATTGTGAACTTGGTCAGGGAGGATCGTTTGTCTCCAGTTGCCAAGAGAACCTTGTTTCACTTTTGAACAATAACTGCATGGGTCTGTGAGGAGTGTTATATGCAGAAATGTTAATCAGTAAGCAGCTTGAGCCACACTTGAAATCTCTTTAACATACTTATTTTGCTCTCCAGTACTGTTGTTTTTACGTGTCAGTTGGCGCAGTCTGAAAAAAGATGTTCATCAGTATTCTGTGCAGTTCCTTACGCAGAAAGCTTGACTCAAGACTTATTTTCTTTTTCAGTTGTTTTCTATAATCAATTGTCAGTAGTTTTAAAGCCTGGTTATTGATGATGTTTAGGTACAGCAAAGTGATTAAGTGATAATGATCTTAGTTTTATCCAGCATGACACATTTTCCAGCTTTGCATATGCTTCGGTGGCCTTCTTATG